GAGGATTTAGAAATGACTACTGTAATCAAAATCACAGATTAGTCATATGTACAAGTCATGTACAAGTCTAATCCCTATTTGCACATAATACAGTTCACTGGAATAATTTCTGAGCTCATTAACTTTGTTATCATTGTGAAGGTTGAATGACACCAAAATGAGGTGTTTATAATTGCCATGGAAAACTAGCCTTTTCTGTTTTCCATTAGTTTTAATGTAAAAAGCAAATTAACATTCCATTTATAGGTTTGTTTTAATTATGTTTTTAAAGAAAGCTCTGATAGTTATTTTTTTAAATGTCTATGATTATTGCTGTGGAGATAATAGAGCTTTTTTCCTCATAGATAACATTTCTTTTTTTATACCCAAGTAATTAAATGCTTTCTAGATTTTTTTCCCAATACACTTAAAAGAGAATATGAAAAATATTGGAAAAACAATCGTACTTACCTAACATTTTAACAGAGTTCCTAAGATAGTTATTTTAAAAAATTAATAAAAGAAAGTACATATTGTCATATATTCATGAGATGTTAAGGAAGTGTCTGTATCTCCATAGGTGGTTAGAAATCTTTTAACATATCTTATTCATGTGGGGAAGTCATACCTTAATCATGTGGCAAAGTCCTAAGAATGAAAATTTCTTAATAACTATAGGATATGTTAATAAATACATTATCTATTGAAACTAAAATACTTTGCGACAGGTTAACCATTCAACATGGTTTGAATTTTACTCTTATTGTATATCTTTGATGAGCAGCTGACAAATATAGGGCAAGAGGTTGCATGTTGGGGCATAAGAATGATTTGTACTATGTCAGGCAACCCACAAGTTGAATAAGTATTGGGGAAGTTGCACAATGGAGTACTGTCTTCATCCCTCCAAAGCCATTCCTCAACTTATAGCCATTACTTTAGCAGCTGTTCAAAGTTACAACAGCATGAAAAAAGTGACTTACAATGGGTCCTTGCACTTACAACTATTACAGCATCCCCATGGTCATATGATCAAAATTCAAGCACTCTTGAAAAAGCTCTTCTGAAAAAGCAATAAACGTTCCTTAAAAATAACTTGTTTAAATGTGTTATTCTAATTTAATCTTGCAACCCCTCTACCCACTGCCTGTCAGTTATTAGTCATACTAATCCCTCTTTCAAAATTTAATACACTTCTTCAAATAAATATGTAATTTTAATTATAAAAAACCTTTGTAGAAAACCCTCACAATGGAGCAGAACTATATAAAGATTTTAATTAAATTACAAAGGAAAAGGTACAGTGACTTAAAAATTTTTAAAGGTTAACCATCAATACATAACCAAAATAAATGTGACTTAACTTTGGAATTTTGTATCGGTTTTCAAATTAAATTATTACATATTCATAACATCTTAAATTTATTGAAATTATTCCCTTTATTTTATTATGCTAAACTGATAATCAAAAGAATATTACAAATATATACCATAGCTTTAAGAGACCAGCACAAAACCAAAAAGCACAATACTATTATCATTAAAAGAGTAAGAAAGGGAAGGGTAGAAAAGCCATCAAAATTATGTTATAAAGAGATGGAGATTCTTAGTCATCCTGGTAATCGTTGAGCCAAAGGTGCTTTTTCAAGAGGTAACTTGTTTTTCTTTGAAGATGTTTTGCTTCTCATCCAAGAAACTTCTTCAGTTATTCAGCAGAGCTGAAGAAGCTTTTTGGATGAAAAGCAAAACTTGTCCAAAGAAAAACAAGAAAGTCCAGTTATAAAGAGAACAACTCCAAAACCATTGATTATATTGTTGAAAAGTCTTTCTTGGAAAAAGGAAG